TAGGGGGTGAATAAAATCTCGAAATTGCAGAACAAAAAGCACGACTTGCGTGCGCGGGCGACTGTTCTTCCGTTACATTCCTATATTTTGGTCCAGGTGCAGCTATCCCCGTTGGGAGGAGGCCGCTGCCCCATGTTACAGCATTAATGCCCAATGATCATGCAATTAAATGAACAGTTTTATGGATCAATCAATGCCCAACGTTCTGGACATTGATGTCCAACGTTCTTGTCCATTAAAATGTTGCTAACACACAACAATTCTTCCCTATAAAAGGCCGGCAGTTGGTTTGCAACAAGCACAACGCACAATACATTCTTCACGTGTTTTTCAGCTCGAATACACCTCCAATCTCTCTGAAAAATTACTTCGTGTTCATACTTGTTCTCGTTCGCCGGAACAGTCGTTTAAGTGCTCAAACGATTGCTCGTTAGTCATCATATCCTGGGAAACTGTCGTTGCAACGCTCCTAGCACCTCGGGAGGCAACGAATATGTTTTAAGGACATCGTGTGTAGCACGAGCTTTGGCTAAATCCTGCTTCATCTATTTTTTGTTTTTTCTTTCATCATTTAAATTAATTCTAATTAATTAATTTTTCTTTGTTTTTCAAAACACACCCAACAAACTTAAAACGTATTCAGTAATTGTTGTACTACGGTAAACAATCTTAAACTGTAGTTAGTCATTCTTGTGAACGAACTTAATTTTTTTTATGTTTTCGGAAAACGTAAGAAGCAAAAAATGGCTTTGCAAGAAAACAAAAATAATGTTGGGCAGAATGTGCTTGTGAACGACACACAATCTGAAACGGAGTTCCGGTGAACAACAGTTCACAACGGGGGATATCTGTTTTGGTCAACCAAAGGGCAATCCCTATGGTGATCGTGCCGAGCAACTCTGTGGAGAAACCCGGAAAATTCTATGGGTTAAACTTCAAGAGGTGGCTACAAAAGATGCTCTTTTATCTCACTACTCTCGGTCTCGCAAGGTTTTTGACCGAGCACGCTCCAGTTGTAACCGGGGGTGAGGTGGATGCGCAATCTTTCAACGCTGTTAAAGCATGGAAGCATTCTGACTTCCTTTGCCGAAACTACGTGTTGAACGGGTTGCATGATGCTTTGTACGACGTTTATGGAAAATTAGCTACGGCTAGGAGCTATGAAATGCTTTGGACCACAAATATAAGAGCGAGGATGCCGGCGCAAAGAAATTTGTTGTCGGCCGATTCTTTGATTTAAAAATGGTGGATTCGAAGACGGTCTTGAGTCAAGTTAGGGAGATGCAAATGATCTTCAATGAAATTCGAGATGAAGGAATGATAGTTAGTGAGTCTTTCCAAGTGACGTCAATTATCCATTTTTTGCCGCCAGCTTGGAAGGATTTCAAGAACTACCTTAAGCATAAGTGAAAGGAAATGAACTTGGAGCAATTGATCCTCCTTCTTCGGATTGAAGAGGATAACCGGAAGAACGATGGGAGACTCCCAATCGTTAGCAGCACCAAGGCAAAGGGCTCCAAAACAAGAATAATGGTAAGAGCAAGCTCGGCCCCAAGGGAGGCGTTTCCAAGACAAAGTTCAATGGAAAATGCTTCAATTGCAACAAAAATGGACATAAGTCCTCGGATTGCAAGGCACCAAGGAAGAAGAAAGACTTTCAAGTCAACATGGTGCAAGGTGGACAAAAGGATGAAGACATGATCCTTGCGACCGTGGTGACGGAGGTCAACCTTGTTGGATCCAATTCCAAGGAGTGGTTCGTGGACACCGGTGCCACCCGACATATTTGCTCAAACCGGGAGTTGTTCACAACTTTTGAGCCATCAAATGGTGAGAAGGTGTGGACATCAAATTCTGCTCATTTCGCGGTTGAAGGCGTGGGCAAGGTGGTCCTGAAGATGACTTCAGGCAAGGAGTTGACTCTCAACCAAGTGTTGTTCGTCCCGGAAATACGCAAAAACCTAATTTTCGGTTCGTTGTTAAACAAGCATGACTTCCGCATGGTATTTGAGTCGGACAAACTAGTTTTGTCTAAATTGGGAATGTATGTGGGGAAGGGGTATGCAGTTGATGGGTTGTTTAAGCTCAATGTGATGACTATTAATAATAATTATTATTATAATAAAATCTCTTCTGCTTACTTGCTTGAGTCTTCCTATGTATGGCATGATAGACTAGGACATGTTAATTTTGAATCTATATGTAGATTAATTAACATGGAACACATTCCTAAATTCACAATTGATGTGAAGCACTAATGTGATGTTTGTGTTGAGGCAAAACTAACGAAAACGTCTTTCAAATCGGTTGAAAGAAAAACGAAGCCACTAGAATTAATTCATAGTGACATTTGTGATTTTAAATCAATACAAACATGTGACGGTAATAAATATTTTATTACTTTTATCGATGATAGCACTCGCTATAGGCCTATAGCTATATTTATTTATTAAGACATAAACAAGTAGCAATCGATAAATTCATTCTTTATAAGAATGAAGTGAAAAACCAACTTAATCGACGGATTAAAACGGTTAGAAGTGATCGAGGTGGTGAGTATGAAGCACCAATTGGTGACTTTTGCGCTAGCATGGGTATAGTACATGAACGTACCACACCCTATTCACCTCAATCAAACGGTGTTGCCGAACGAAACAATCGCACATTGAAAGATATGTTGAATGCGATGCTAGTAAGATCGGGCTTGCCACAAAATATGTGAGGCGAAGTAATCTTGTCAAGAAATTACCTTTTAAATAAGGTTCTCCGGAAAAAATATGATAAAACTCCCTACGAGTTGTGGAAAGGTAGAAAGCCTTCCTATCAATATTTAAAAGTGTGGGGGTGTCTTGCAAAGGTGCTTGTACCAACACCTAAGAAAATAAAAATAGGTCTAAAAACGGTGGATTGTATTTTTATTGGGTATGCACAAAATAGTAGTGCTTATCGGTTTTTAGTGCACGATTCGAATAATCCGGATGTACATAAAAACACAATAATTGAATCAAGGAATACATAATTCTTTGAAGACGTATTTCCATGCAAGTCCAACGAAGGACCAAACACGTCAAACCGAAGATTTGACGTAGCTATAGAATATACTTGTGAGGGATCCGGAGACGAACCCGAACCCAGACGTAGCAAACGTGCTAGAGTTGAAAAATCCTTCGGACCGGATTTTCTCACTTACTTGGTAGAATTCGATTTCGAAATTCTAACATGATTGGTAGAAAATGAGCCACGGACTTATATGGAAGCCGTAACGTCTACCGAAGGTCCGATGTGGAAAGAAGCCATCAAAAGTGAGGTGGATTCTATCCTACAAAATCACACATGGGAATTGATTGATCTTCCTCCGGGATGTAAACCTTTGGGATCCAAGTGGATTTTCAAATGAAAAATGAAACTTGACAGTTCCATTGATAAGTACAAGGCCAGACTTGTAATCAAGGGATACAAGCAACGTGAAATCCATGATTACTTTGACACTTATTCTTCCGTAACGAGAATAAATTCCATTAGGATGATACTAGCAATTGCTGCATTGCGGAAATTGGAAGTTCATCAAATGGACGTAAAAACCGCTTTTCTAAATGGCGATATAGACGAAGAAATCTATATGCAACAACCCAAGGGTTTTCGTGTTCCTGGCCAAGAAAGGAAAGTGTGTAAATTCATTAAATCATTGTACGGATTGAAACAAGCCCCTACACAGTGGCACGAAAAGTTCGATCATGCAATGCTAATTACAAATGAAAACCTTTGGGATCCAAGTGGATTTTCAAATGAAAAATGAAACTTGACAGTTCCATTGATAAGTACAAGGCCATACTTGTAATCAAGGGATACAAGCAATGTGAAATCCATGATTACTTTGACACTTATTCTCCTGTAACGAGAATGAATTCCATTAGGATGATACTAGCAATTGCCGCATTGCGGAAATTGGAAGTTCATCAAATGGACGTAAAAACCGCTTTTCTAAATGGCGATATAGACGAAGAAATCTGTATGCAACAACCCGAGGGTTTTCGTGTTCCTGGCCAAGAAAGAAAAGTGTGTAAATTAATTAAATCATTGTACGGATTGAAACAAGCCCCTACACAGTGGCACAAAAAGTTCGATCATGCAATGTTAATTAATGAGTTTAAATTAAACGAAAGTGACAAATGCGTCTATGTGAAGAGCACGGTAGACGACTATGTCATTTTATGTTTATACGTAGATGATATACTCATCGTGGGTAGCAAAAATCTAATGATAAATTCTACCAAAAGCATGTTAAATTCTAAATTTAATGAGTTTTCATAAAAGAAAAAAATAAGAAAAGGAAAGTGAATTACCATATATGTAGTTGATATCACAATACTCATTATCAGACTCTTAATGCTCAGTAGAATACATCTTATGCTCCTTAAAAGTGTGTTAATACTCATCTAACGAAAACTGAGATTTTCACTGAAATTACGAAAATGTCACCGTTTTTTAGTTGCGATATCAGCTTTCTTGTAATAACACGATGCCCATTATTAGACGCTTAATACTCGTTAAAATTGAACTATTGTTCATTAACAGTACACTAATGCTCATTTAGCAGAAACCGCGATTTTCACATTAATTAAAAAAATGCCCCTGAATTATTTAGCTATTTTTCTCTTGGGCCTGTTACTGGGCCGGCTGTACGGTGCTCACCGTACAACCGGATGTACCATATACGTACTCAATCAGCTTTGTGTATAATAAAAAATGATTTTTGTACCCACTCTTATACCCACTTTTGTACCCACATATGTTTGTGAAAGTTTTTTTTATTTGAACCCCGGTTCACATAGAATATTTTGCATAGACACAATATATTGTAGGTATAAGAGTGAGTTCACACACAATATATACTATCGTATATGGTCCGTGTATAATTTACATTTGTCAATAACGGATTTGGCTTGGTGTGATCTAAAGTTCTAAACTAATCTGGTACTGCATCTAAACTGATCTCTTGCATTTGACTCGATCTTCTATACGACCGAACTTAAGCCTCTTAGGTTCCCATACGCCATTTGAAAATACACGCTCAAATCTGCAATCTCTTGCAATGATATTCACGGATTCACACTTTTGTGTTTGAGTGTGATGCAGGAAGTGCACAATTTGAAGGACACGTCCTAATGGAAAATGCTTCAGAGGAACCTCTCTCTGTAACAGGTATACAATCCAAATAAGTTTTACTATTAGTCTTTGTTCTTGTCATTGTAGATATGTGTAGGCTTACATTTGGCTCTTTTAAAGCCGTGTTTAATTATAACTTCAATGAAGACTGTGTTGGAAATGCCACTTTTTTATTAACAGACATCAGTACATCACTATGTGTGGATTGTGTGCACAAAAGTTCAGAAGCGAAGACTTTTATGGAAAATTTGTTAATTTTTTATTTGTCATCAGCAGCTACTCTGCCGCAAACTTGTAGTAAGTCATAACCACATATAAATAATAGTCTGACTAGTATAAACGACAAAGTATGTTAAATGTCCCACACCGGAAACATTTGTGTGGAAATATTTGGATGAACAAAGTGTTATATTAAAATCCCGTGTCTTAACATGATATCAGAGCCAAATCGATCCATGGTGTGGGGACCCCTAATGAAAAATGATGACACGATTATAAAAACGGCCGGATGAAAAAAAACGGACCGATGAAAAAAATGAATGATTGCTCGATTCAGACGAAGTGTCTGGTCGTGAGGAGGGGTGTTAAATGTCCCACACCGGAAACATTTGGATGAACAAAGTGCTATATTAACACATGAGCTACTCCTCCTATCAGGTTGACCTTTTAGGATGGAACCCGTGTCTTAACAAAGTACCATGGAGTGTTGGACTTCTTTTCCTTTCAACCAATTCTTGAAAAAATGATGAAAGAAACAAGAAATCAATGTTTCAATGTTTCTTTCAAGGAAAACAATCAATCATCTTGGTTACTTCCCTTCTTTCCTAATAAATCCAGAAACTAAACTACTTCTCTTAAATCAACTTTTTCTGATAAAGTTGGGTGCAATCAATTTTATCACAGAGTCAGGGAACACTATAATACTTTTTCTTTTGCCTAATAGTTAGGAGCAGCATATGGAACATATTATACTAAGTCTCTTAATTATAGTAACAAGAAAGAAGCTTTTCATATATTTAGTTTTGGCCTTTGGGTTGCCTCTTACGTTTAGCTATGTTTCTTGTCTTGTAGTAAGCTGCCATGAAAGACTTAATCAGCTTATTAGTGGAGACTCACTAGACTTTGTTGCTTGGAAGGCGCTGATAACAGAAGTCGAGACATTTCACCCTGTTAGTTGTCTATGCCACAGTAATTGATACTCTGCCTGATACTGCCCTTAATATATAAATAATTATTTTGAAGCATTTCCATGCAACTTGAGACTGCATTAGTTAATGATGATGGCAGTACTAGTACAAACCATTTACAGTTATGTGTTCTGTTTAAGGTTGGTCATGTTGGTTTTTACAGGGTAGAAGTAAGAAAGTAAACCATCTGTCCCAGTGACCTGTATTGAAAATGAGGAAATAGCTGTACCAACTGATGTTACACACATGTAGAAATAGCAGAACATTCAGAGTCTAAGATAAGCCAACATGTAACTAGAGGGATGGATACAAAGCTGAAAAAGGAAACATTTGATTCACCAATTCACATTTAATCAAGATTTTCAAACAAAGGGGCATAGTTTTCTTATATACTCGTAATTAAGAGTAGAATGTTAATAAAATAAGTATATTCTGAAGCTATAAAAACTGTGAATAAAAATATGCATAGTTGTTATGGCTTATGGAGACCATCATTGCGCCAAGGCAGTTTACTATGGCGATGGTGCATTTATGCCATTGCCACATTACAGAAAAAATAACAAGTATAAATATGAAATATAGACATATAGTTCTATGATCAAACCTCCACTAAAAGAGTTATATAACCAAATTCTAGAAAAACACGTAGGCAAGTCAAAATAGTACCCAAAACAATCCTAATACAACACAACTAATTAACTTAGTGACCTAAAACAATCTCTTCTTTTCAGAAAAAGTTCACTTCTGAAAAATGTGAATCTTTTTCCGATCATTATGATCTATTCATTATCATTTATCACTTATCAGTCATCATGCTCTTCGTTCTCAACCCCCTATAGTTGTCGTTTGGCCGATGCACAGCCTCTCTTCAAGGAATAATTAACCGGGACCATCACTCTCTAATGGTCATTAGTTTACACATACCATTTTTACGTACCTTATTATTACTAGCTGTTTGTTTGTTCTGATGTGCATCTCTTCTTTTCGTATGCCTTGGTTGCCGTTAATAATATTTGGCTTGGTTGAACACTTGAACAACAACAACATCCAAGCCTTAGTCCCAAAAGAGTTTGGGGTCGGCTAACATGAGCATTTTTTTTAATCATGTGTCTTGGGCTAATCCAAACTGACTATTTTTATTTAGAGTCAAGGCCCTAAATAGTATGGGCCTACTTGTTTAAAATAAAGCTGTTTAAATATGGGCTAATTTGTGGGGCAAATGGAGATGGCGCCGTCACATGTATAATGGATGCCATTCACACCACATATTACTTTTGTGCCAATAGACCCTTAAAACTCCAATGGAAATAATCGGCAATTGCCATTGACAACTATGTAAATATGTTTGGAAAGCTTATTGAAACCATTGGCTGTCACAATCACTCTGTGAAGGGTTTACTGGTAAATAGATGCAGGGAATCAATGTAAGTTGATTCGAAATCTGATTCAAATCCAATATATGATAAATTGATAAATTCGTTCTGAAAAATGATGCAGAAGGTTTCTGATTAAATGAAGCTCTAATTGAGAATGAAGTGAATTATAGGTTGTGTCACAAAGACCTTGATGCCCACTACCTAGTCGTCCTCCATAGGAATATGTGCATTAAAAGATCTTTCATAATATGCCCAATCCGAAACTGGTTCTATGCATACGACTTGCAACAAGAAAAGTTAATGCGCAAAGCCTCTTATTTCTGCCCATAGTTCTTTATCTTGTTGGGAGTTTTCATCCCATATTAGTTGGATACGTTCACATAACTTTGCCATTTCCAATTTTAAAATTTAAATGCTTTTTGGTGAACATGAATAGCCTATGCGAAGAACAATGATCAGTTCTGCATTTCACTCTATTGCATTACTTTTCTGTGAAATGTAAGTAAAATTGAGCTGTAAAGAGGCTACAAACAATGGCAGTGATTTTTTTAATAATACTCTTTGTTAGAGCCACTGGTAGCCAGCCATTTAATAATAATATTAGCTATTTTGACAAAGTGTATGTTAGAGGAAATAAGAAGTAGCTGGAATTGTATTTGGGGAAACGGAAAGGTGGTTCTATAAATAGATAGCTAATAATAGAATAAGGAGGCTGGTATTGTTTCATTTGGGCTGGGACTTGGGACTTGGAGAGTCGCTCTCTTTAAACTGCCTCTTGTAATTCTCTCTCTACAATTTCTGTTATACGATATCTCTTTCTTCATCTTTGATTCTTGAATTCACTTTGGATTAGTTAGGTCTCTAACATTGGTATCAGAGCATCGATCTGGTAACCTGTACATGGTCGTCACTAGAGGATCAACAAGAATAACAATGGAAGTTAGACTGGAAAACCTGGAACGCGAGTTGGAATGTAGTCGTCTGGACATGTTGCGAGAGCTGGAGAAGACTCGCATGGAGGTGATGCGCGATCGCGATCGCGAAAACATGCGCGAAGAAGCTAATCGCACTCGCGATGAATTACACGAGCTGCTTTTGAACAGGAATGGTAGTCGCTCGCGTGGAAGATCGAAAAGGACCAAAAGAAACCAGAGCTCTGGCAGTCGCGAGTCATCTTCTTTCTCAGGTAATCATCATTCTTCATCCTCTAGACGTAATGATGATTACAGTAAATTGATGAAGTCTGAAGGAAAGCGGATTTACCACTTTTCAATGGACATGATGCGTATGGATGGATAGTTAAGGCTGAGCGTTTCTTGAAAATGAACTATATAGAAGAAGATGATAAAGTAGACTTGATTACCCTAGCTATGGAAGGAAAAGCTCTTAACTGGTTTCAGTGGTAGGAAGAACACGCTGAGGTGAGAAGCTGGGAATCATTCAAAAATGCCTTAACTCGTAGATTTCAACCTGGTTTAGTGCATGCTCCTTATGGTCCACTATTGAGTGTAAAACGGACAGGTAGTGTTATGGAGTATAGGGAACACTTTGAGTTGATGGTGGCTCCCTTAAAAGACACTGATCTGAAAATGCTCAAGGGGATCTTTATGAAGGGTTTGAAACCTGAAATAAGAGCTGAGTTAAAGTTATATCCAGTCAGAACTCTTGCGGAGTTGATGGATAGGGCTTTGCTTGTGGAAGATAGGAATCAGACTCTGAAATCTGCCAGGAACATGGAAGAGGATAGAAGGGGATTGAAAGATAAGGGGTATTCTTCAGTGCAGAATCACAAATGGATGGATGAAAATAAGTGGAAGAGCAGTCTGAATTACCAGCCCACTCAAGAGAAACCTGCCATGGAAAAGAAAATGTTGGAAACAAGAAATAAGGAATCTGGAATATTGGGTACACACAGGTTATCACAATCTGAGTTACAGGATTTGAGCAGAAGAGGTCTCTATTTTAAGTGTGGTGAAAAATGGGGCAAAGACCATATCTGTAAGATGAAACATTTTCAGATAATCATGTTAGATGAATCTGAGGAGGAAGAGGAATTGGAGAGTGATGCTATAGAATCTGTTTCACCAGTGCAGGAAATTGACACCTCTAATATGCATTTATCAATCATGAGTAAGGAAGGGATCACAACTCCTAAGATTTTTAAGGTGAAAGGAAAGTTAAGGAGTGAAAAAGGAGATAAAACCATCATCATTTTGATGATTGTGGGGCCACCCACAACTTTATATCTCCTAAGGCAGTTCAAGCAGCAGGCCTACATATCTCCCAGATTCCAGAATTCAAGGTAAAGATAGGAAATGGAGACATAATCATAAACAATGGGAGATGTGAAGCTGTTTGTCTTAACATACAACAAAATACCATCATTCAAGACTTCTATTTATTAGAATTGGGGGAAAATGAGTTGGTTTTGGGGCTGGAATGGTTAGCAGGCTTGGGAAATGTGGAATTTAAATTTCACTCAGCTAACTATCAAATGGAAGGAAAAGAGCAAGGTAATGAAGCTTCAGGGATATACCAACCTCAACAGTAATCAAGCTCCTTTCAAATCTATCATCAAGACTATGCAATAGCATGGAGAGGGGTGTTATAGGCCATTGGAAGTAAGTATGACTGGAGATTGGAAGAAAAAGGTGGGTTACACTCATGAGGATTATGCTGAAATGTTCTTGGTGTTTGAACTGTTGCACATGGCCATACATCAGCCTTGCCTATTTTAGATAGGGAAAATGGAAACTAATAATCCAACCTTTTAGCGGTCTTCTTTTAATAGTCTCACCTTTTCGTTATTCATGAATAATCCAACCTTTGCACCTCATCTTCATTCACTGGTCCCTGACCGGTTGATGACCTGCTATTCCAAGTTATTTTCTTATCTTTGCAAAATATTATTTTTGTGAAAGGTGGAATTTATGGTATAATAGTTTGCAAAGATAAAAAAAATAACTCGGAATAGCAGGTCATCAACCGGTCGGGGACCAATGAATGAAGATGAGGTGCAAAGGTTGGATTATTCATGAATAACACAAAGGTCGGGCTATTAAAAGAAGACCGCTAAAAGGTTGTATTATTAGTTTCCATTTTCCCTTTTAGATACCTATGTTTCACCTAAAGGGACCAAACTTACATTTGGAAAACTTAGTGAGCTTAAGGATAAGAGTAGCACTGGTCCAGTGGTACAAGAGACCCATGCTTATTTTTTTGGTATGCAAGGTTTGAACCAACAGTTTCAGGGATGGAAGGATGCTAAACTGGAGTGGTATAATAGTGAAGACAAGGAGTATGGGATGCAAAATCTTGAAGGAGTAGCTGAAAGGTGTTTTATCATTCAATATATTGGAAAGGAGGTGATGGATGCTCATGCTGAAATAACAAATGTGATGTTGGAGGTTCCTGCATTGAAAATAACAGTAAAGAAAACAATGGGAAATTGTCAAGGAAGAGGTACAAAAATGAGAAAGAAGCTGTTCGTTAGGACTGTCTCCTACGACCCACCTTGAGGACAAGGTGGTTGTCCCAGGGGGAGTGTGATACGTACTCTAATATTGTAACCGTAAATCGATCGCTATTATTTAGATAAAGTGCAGA